GTGAAAGAGAGATTCAGCCCCTAAGAATAAAGAAAAGGAGAGATGTATCCACATCTGCTTTGTCTCACTTACAACTATTAAGGATTGTAATAGTGGCTGATTTATTGTAAACATCAGTCTGCATCTTATTAACACTAAATTAAATTACTTTTCTTTCCTTTGATTATTTTTCACCCCAAAGAGAGAAATGTAGTTAGATGATTCAATGATTCATATTGATACTTTGTAACAAAAATAAAGGAAAATGCACAGATTAAGTAAAATGCATTTAACATCATTCAGAGCACAAAGAATAAGACAAACTAAAAGTACAGTTGGTTAAGTAAACTAATTAACCATTTTCCGAGTATACTTAAATAATGAGACATCTTTCACATGAAACAATTGGCCTCTCTGTGATTAACCAGAACACTCAAGAGCGTTCTTAGTGTGTGGGTTAACCACCATGTTTGTTACTTCCTCCTCCCCTGCGCAGGTTATTCTTTCTCACTGAGGCAATTCAAACAGATATATGTATATATTTTATGACTCTTACTGTTTCTTTCTCTAAAACACAACTTTGCAGCACTGAAAATACTTCCTCTTTTTCAGCAACTGATGCAGAGATAACAGGGCATTGGAGTATTACTACTAATTCCAACCAAACTCATCATATTTTAGCAGCATGATGAAATGCAGTGAAATGCAATCATTTACAGGAAAATGAAGTGGTATTTGGAGACTGATATAACCTTGGTAACGTTTATAATTTGGTGGGTTTTGAGATAATTACTCCTAAACTTATACCACTGTTTTTCAAAGAAAATTTAATTTTCAAATGCACAATCCCTTTCCAGTTTGTTCAGGTCTAGTAATATAACATTTCCTGCTATCCAGATCAGTAAAGGAAGATGAGAACAAGGGAGTAGTACCAGCAGTTTAGAACATTAATGTCGGAACAGGCTGAAATCCTACCCTGAGACTTTACAGTTTCTTTTGTAAAACTGGAACCTCATGTTTGTGAGATGGCAAAGGCATAGGGAGAAGACATTTCCATACTCTTCTTAAGTGTCTTAGATCAGACAATTATTTCTTTATATTTCCAAGTTTAAGCTAATTCAAACTTGCCTCTTTCTCTGGTGTTTTTGCCTCAGCCTACTTGCTAATTAGAATTCTTCAAGTCATAGTCTGAATGGAACCAAATAATCTTTAAACTTATTTTCAGTCACAGACCTATCAAGCATTTCTGAGTGCATGAAAAAGAACTTCTAGTATTAGCCATATAAGATTTTAGCTGATTAAGCCAGGGCATTTCTTCTAATCACAGACTTCTTTCATATTGCCTCTTTTTGGCTGGATTGTGGCTTGTAAGTGCCGCTAATCCAATGAACACTGGCAGTTCTCCATATCTTACATTTCCAAAGCACTTTCTCCAACTTCTGTGACATTCTGATGTCTGTAATGCTATCCTGTCAACATTTTTAAATCAACACATGATGTTAACATTATTCAAATTCACTGCCTTCACTGGGCTTCCATCAGGGGTGAAGTTGGCCCATGAACTTGAACAAAGGCTTGTATTAGTAAATTCTTAAGAACTAATTTCAATTATATGTTGCAGTACCAAGCAGTATTATGCAGCTGCCATTGCATGAATGCAAGGATGACATGAAACCCATAGCTATTCAACTTTGGTAGTTATTCTGAAATTCATGAAAAGTGAATAAATTGGAGAAATTATTCAGAAACAAATATATTATTTAGAAACATTTTTGTTGTATTCCATCTGATTGCCTACTGTACTGGTGATGCAAAAACTTCAATGGGTTTTAATGCACCCAACAAATACAAAGACAAATTCTTCTCCTACCCGTGAAGTGCCAAGTTTTGCACAAAAACATTGTTAAATGCAACACCTTATTGTTAGTTCCCTAATTGTTCTTCTGTATAGCACATTAGCTCCTTCCATCATAGTCTGTGAGACGAAAAGTACTGCTATGATATCTAACCACAGGGACTCTAATAAAGCACACTATATTAACAATAGACACCTCTCACATTTCTGTACCCTTCCATTATTTTATTGTTAAAAGAAATTATGCTTGAACAAAAGCTTGATATCATAATTCTTTCTTTTGGGGCATCTGACACAAGTCATGTCACAATACTCTCAACAAATGGAGTTTTGCAACATTCTTCTGGATATTTTGCTTTATACAACAAATAACCCACCAGGTCATCTGTTACAGAGAGTGTCTTAAGTGCAGATTTCCTAAATTAATGTTCTTTCTGTTCAACTGATGTAGTGATTCTAAAAAAGCATTCATACTGGACCAGGGGTTCACCAACACAGTATCCTTTCTCAAACAGTAGCTGCAAGTACAAGTGTAAGAGCATACAAGTTGAAGACATGGTAAATGCATATGATCTTCCCCTGTCATTCTCCTTAAGCATCCTCTTACTTTCAGCTTAAAGGACTTTCTAAGACTGATATTTTTTCTGTTTGGTAATCTGCAGATCTTTCTTCCATCACTGAAACCCACGTAAATGCTCCCCATCCTTCTCCTTTAGCAAGGTGTTCCACTGGTCTGCTATCTGCTGCATAAAGAAATAGCTCCTTTTATTTGTTTAGAGTCTGGTTTCTTTAAAGGACCTCAGTACTTGAACTGGAAGATAGGAAGCAGTAACTGAGTTCCAGGCTGCTTGAGACTTGGTAGATCTCTACAGCATCTTCACTACATTGTCTCTTTACCAGGCAGAACAGTTTTTGCCTCTTCAGCCATTTCCCTAGAGAAGCTCTTCCACGCTCAGATCCTTCTGGCCTGTGTCTGAAACTTTCCCCATTCTAACATATCATTTTTATGAGATAGGATCTGAACACTACATAGTCATAGAATGGCTAATAGTGGATTTGTACTGTGGTATGATGAGGTTTTCGTTTTAAAATTTAAAATGAAAAATTCATTTACTTTTGTGATGATCCCTGAGCTGATATTTTTCATGGAATTATCCTTAATATTTTAAAGACAAACTTTCTCCACTGAATAGTAATGGTGTGAATGTAAGACAATTTTTCTCAATGTGGTTCGCTTTATATGTACCTACATCTATCACATTTCATCACCCTAGCATTTACTCCATGTCATCTATGAATGTGTTGAGCCGTGCTGTTTTCTGCAGAATTTCACAGGTGATCTTCATAGCAAGAACAGATCATTTGCTCTTTACTTCTGCTTTTTTACCCATTTCAATATGTAGTCCAAATATATTTTGTGGTTTCTGGACTACTGAGGAATCTAAGGAAAAGAAGTTTATTGTGCATAAATTCCCAGGAGGGGGCGGGAGGGGTTTTCATTTATTTGGAGTACTTGTAGGGGGTTCTTAAATCAAATAAACTCAAAGCTGTTGATTCAGGACATTTTGATAGGGAGTATTTTGTAAAATCTCAGTGAAGTGTTCGGCCTTTGCATCTGCTAAGCAACCAAAATGGGTTTTAACAAGCTCAACTCTCATGTAGGCGCTTTAATAAAGAGCAGATTTTTAAAGGTACTTTGTTTTCTGTAGTTTCTGGTGATAACACTCTGGGCCAGTTTTTCAAAGAAGTATAACATCTTTTAACAATCTTCTATCTATTTACTAATAGAATAAAAAAGGAATGGCGTTTAAATCCTGTAATACTTTGTGGATGCTACACTCTTGGAATTATGCCCTTGATATGTTTTTGAGATGCGCAGACTCTAATGTTTTAATTGATCTCAAAATGAAGAAAAAAAAAGTCACTCAATTTATGTTTGGAAGGTCCTTATTTCTTTCAATAATTTTCAGATTAAAGTGGCTCATTTCACAGAAGCATTGGTCTTTGGGTCAAGGTTTTGATTATTTGTCTCTCTATAAAACGTTTAACAGTGTTTTGAGTACTAAGGTGGTTGGATTCATCATGGAGTGTAAGCAAACTGATAGGTTCTCAAATCATTCATTCTGCCAACTCAGGCAGATATTTTAAAAGTAAAACTGTTCTTTTCTGTCTTCTCCCTTCTTCTCCTCCCTCAAGGGCAGTAAGTTTTGATATTACATGTTATTAAAGTAATTATTTGGAAAGAAAAGTATTAGTCTGGGATGTAGAGGCTACATCCCCAGTACATTTTGTGAATATTTTATTGTCAGTTTTGTCAGCTTTGCTGGTTTGTTTTTTTTTTCTCTTTAGAGCTTATCTCAACTTGTCCTACACTATTTCAATAAATAGATAAGAAAGAATCGCCCATTAAAAATTTTTACAATCAGAATTTTGCATTTTTGCTGAAGAGGCAGAACAGTCTCTGGCTTGATCTTACTGTTTACTGGCTCCGCTTACTGAGTGAGATTTCTATCCATAATCACACAAACCTTATGAGTTTCAGAACAAAATGGCAAATTGGACCATATAATCAAAAACTTCAACAAGACCCTGAAGTAATGGATAACTCATTTGAGTTACTGGATATTTTCTTTAAATTCCTAGTCTTCTCGAGACCTAAAAGCTTGGCGAAAGACCATGCAGATCATTTATTTGCATACATTTTCTAAATAATGCAGTAATGTTAACTTGTGTACAGTGAGCTACACTGCTGCTGGCAGAAGTGTGGAAGAGAAATTCTCTATTAAGAAAATAGGAGAGTTCTTCCTTCAATTGTTTCTTCTGTGCAAGATAAAACTATTTGAAGCCAACACATATATCCTGACTTGCAGACTTGTTCATCTCTAGAGAGCCACATTGAAAATAAGGTTCTCCCTCTTACTCTCTTCTCCTTCCTATAGCTCTATAGATATCTTTGTTGGAAGAGTATTGCATTCAGTTCTGGAGTAACAGAGATCATCATTCCGGTGCCTACACTGTATTTGTGTCCAAGGCCCTTAGTTTTTGTAGAAGAAAGAAGCTCAAATATGCATATCCCACTTTCAAATTACTCAAAGGAGATCTATCCTGCAAAGCTATAGGAAAAGGGGAGATAACATGTGTATGATATTAACATGACAGACATCAAGAAGAGAACAACCATTCTTTATAATCCAAATTTTGCTGTCACTATTTTAAAGGTAAATACAAAGAATGGCTGCATTTTCAGAAAGCAGAGGAAGTCAACATTCTTCATTCAAAGACTTGTTTCATCATGTACTTTAGAGAGCTGTTCAAGTTAGTATCAACAGCAACCAGGTGCTGTGAACAGTAAAATCTTGCATACAGAAGTAGAGCTGGGCATGGGGGATCAAGGGAGGGCCAACTGAGCCCTTATAGCTGCTGCCTGTGTTAGCCACTTCAGAGATCAATTCTGAATCCATAGCTCAGTTGCTGCTTCAGTACTCATTTTTCATCTGCTTTGCATCCACAGTTGACAGTGCAGCCTTCAGTATGTTCTGTTTAAATTCTCACCGAATCTCCATGGGTTCCTCTGTCTCTTCACACTAAGAGAGACGAGAGAGAGAAAACAGCAAAGTGGTTAGAAATCTTCTGCCAAACACAGATGGTAGCCCGATTGCTCTTACAACCTACCTGTGTCTGTCTGTGGAACCGTGGATGTTGTGGACATGTGTGTAAACAATTTCCAATGCTCTCAGAGCATTCACCCAAAGGATAATTTCCATCTGAGTGTTAATATTCTCCACATTAGACAGCCTTGAGAAACAAATATGGCTATGTAGGATTTATCTCTGTAAAAGTGTGTTTGTGTGTGAATGTGTTTATAAGGAGAAGCAGAGGAAGAACAAGAAGACTCTAAAATTACACAGCAGCCTGCTGTTAAAAAGTACTGACAAAAGCACTTGCTTGCACAGTGTAGGCAGTCTGTGAAAATCCAAAAAGATGTGGATAAAAACCCACACTGGCTTTACCTCATGGCATCTTAGCACGATCAGCTATTTGTCCCTCTCCTCCCCAGGATACAGGCACAGTATGGGATATGATTACATTACAGCAGTTCAACAAATTAGTGCCTGTCAGCTGACCTGCTGTAACCAACTGTGTATGCTTTCTTCATCTGCCCCATTTGCAAGATAAAATGTATTAGCTTAAATTCACATACAGTGGATTTCCCTTCTGAGCCAGACCTCTAAATAGTTTTCGGCATACCTGGCACAGCAAGCTGGTATGTTCTTCTCAGCACAGGAAATATCTGGCAAAAGGAAACTTTCCTCTTTGCAAAGAAATAAATTGACCTACCAAAAGTGCATTTAGCACATGGAGGAAAAATTCTTTCTCAGCTCCTGTAGAGTGAAGCATGAGATTTGATTATCCTTATTATCTTAGTTCAGATAGCTTCAAATGTTGCTAGTTGTCATGAAACATATAGCCCTTTAAAAAATCTAGTTATGGTATTTGACTTACTGACCTATTCTGGCATTAAATTGCACAGTATGCCAATGCACTGTGAAAATTCAAGTCCTTTTTTTTTGGTTCTATGCATATAGAGCCTTTAGTTCAATGGCAGGAGCTTTGGATCTCTTATCTTTATCTTTTTTTGTAAGGCAAAAGAAAGAGAAGGGTTACTTTTCACTAATACTCTTCACACAGCTTAATTTTTCAACCTTGTTGAGGGGGTTTGGGTCTTGTTAGCCATCTCTTACTGCACATCCTTAGTAGGGATGCTCTAGGTGCTCGAATCTGGACGTTGCTGTAAAGTCAATATAAGTGATAACAAGAGGCACATCTCATGGAACCATGCAAAGTTTCATTTCTCTTTTGTCACTGTAGATCAGACCAGAATAAAAGGAAAATAAACTATGTTCTTTTCTGCACCTTGGTCATGGCTGGCATTTTCCTGTATTGCTAACTAGCAGACCAGTGTCCTGGGTTCAGCAGTAGCAGTCATGTTTCTCCTTCGTGGTAGCTGGTGCAGTGCTGTGTTTTGACTTCCAGCCTGGGAACAGTGCTGGTGATACCGATGTTTTCGGTTGTTGCTAAGTGATGTTTACCCTGACCAAGGACTTTGTGAGGCTCATGCTCTGCCAGGGAGGAGGGGAAGCCGGGAGGAAGCAGAGACGGGGTGCCTGACCCAGGCTAGCCCAAGAGGTATTCCATACCACAGCACATCATGCCTGGGGTGGGGGGTAACAGGGAGTTACCCGGAAGGACACGGGCTTCTGAGTGGGACTCGTTTCTTGGCCGGTGGTATTGTATTCTCTTCCCTTGTTATTTTCTCTTATCATTGTTGTAGTTGGTAGTAGCAGTGGTGATTTGTGTTGTACATTGGTTGCTGGACTGTTCTTGTCTCAACTCGTGGGAGTTGCACTCTTTCGATCCTCCTCTCCATTCCGCCGGGAGCGGGGAAGTGGAGAGCCCCGGGGAGGGGGGGGGGGGGGGGGGCCCTCGATTGCTCTCATCCCGGCACCACTCACTGGGAGTGAGTGAACAAGCTGTCTGGCTAGGGTTTAAACCACGACAACCAGTTAATTCAGACTTCTGCTGGGGAAATTATACAGATGTAAAATAATAGGTAAAAAGTTCTAGATTGCCAAATCTTACAATGCTTCTTGTTTGTTTTCTCCTCTGTTCCTACCTTCCTTCAGTGTCATGCATTTCTTTATGACAAGGAGGGTCTATGATCCTGTGGGTCTGTGTTTTCACACACCTTTTATTCATTGATTTATTACATTCTTTTTTTATCCAATTGAGATCTGTACTGAACAGTTGTCACAGCTGCAGTTCTTGCTCGGCAGCATTTAAATGCATGCTAAACAAAAGTCCCTGTCTTGCCCATCGCAAATATAGTCAAGTTAGTTGATAAAAAGCATTATGCCACCCCAGGGTGTGATTATACTTTGAGATAGCACCACCCGTAGGACGGGTGAAGGCCCTTTGATTTTGGCTCTGTGTCTAATAATGTGTTTTAACTCTTTCCAAGCTCTGGGTTTCTGTTAATTTCAGCAATTCTGTACATGTTACAACTGATATGGTTACTGATATACTTGATAATGTAGCTGGCATCAATGAAGGAAACCATTTGGTTGGGCTAGACAGAACTGCACCAAGACTGCAGTCATCATTCAGTTAATATGCCAGATTATTGGCAAACTTTTCCACTGCCTCCTTCTGTTGTTTTCTGCAAAGCATTAGTGTGGCTGAGACCCATGATGATCTGATCCACTGGTTTTGGTTTTTGCTAACCTTAACGCTCTTGGTTCCACCTGGGCATGTTCTCATCAGTTTTCCTTTGCCCTCTGTACCTTGCAGCAGGAGACCTGTAATGTTGCCTGTACTCATGTTTTGTTATCTTCCCATTTTTCTGGGGCAGTTTTTACGGATCCCTAGTGTTGCTCTTCAACACTTCCCTGGAGAGTTTCAGGGACTTTGGTAAGTGGGCAAGTCTCTATTCTACCCACTGCTTTTACTTGTTTCAGCTTAGGTACTGAAGATTTATTTTAATATAAGAATGAGAGAACTTAACAAAATTATGCTGTTGATTCATGACAATACTATGGTAAAGCTTGCACTTGCAGTTTTTATGCTTCCCATCTATGCTAATATGCGCTTACACAAGACTGACAAAATTTCTTAATGTAAATTACATTTGCATTGGCTTTAAGTCAGCTTTATACTATCAGAAAAGAGAATAAATTCCAAATGGTTTACAACCATGAATACTCCCAGAAAGTAACTAGTCCTGATTTCCTTATATTTGAACTAGTATAAAGCAAGAATAAGTTCATTAAAGTGGTTGGGATTATTTTAATTTATACTGTAGCTTTATTATACTGCTCTGAAGCACTGTATATATTTAAGCTGCCACTGCAGAGTGAAAGGGACCATAGACTGAGCTCCAAAGGCCCTATATGGGTGCAGGAGAGAGAGGAGATTGAAGCACATTGGGACTATATCCAGCAGTTATTGTCTGCAGGACTGGGCTCTTTGATCGTAAAATAAGAGAACATGCTTTCCTGGAATTCTGCCTAGCTGTATCTTCGTTTAATATTCACTTAAAAATAAGCCAAACAAGCTACAAAATCTTTAATGGAAACATAGACCTGCCACTTTTAGTACTCACTCATTTCCTTAGCCTGTAAGCTTTGGGTTCCCAAAATTATAACTGTTTGATGCTTACATGTTTTTACATGTTAAAAAAACCCACTTGCAGATGCATTCTGGTTGAAACCCATTCTGGTTGTATAATATGAATGCCTAAGAGTCTGGCTGCTTAAAAAGGACTAATTTTCTCGGCATGGTGGGGGAAAAGCTCCTAAAGATGTTCCCACAGATATCTAAATGGGAAGGAAGTTGTGATCCCTTTACCCCATTTGCTTTCAGTGAATGCAGCAGAAAAGGCATTTACTAGCTGGGAGCAAGGTGTAGGTTTAGGATGTAAGGAAATCCTGGAGAGTATTCACAGAGAACGAAATGTTATTTATAAAAGTGTCATTATTACATCTTAATTATTTATGTTTTAAGAAATGAATAATATATTTTCTGAGTGCTTGCTAATTATTAAATGACAGAAGCAACTCCACATTTCAATTAGCTTGCCTTTCCTGGCAACAACTTCAAATAAAAAAACCCAAACAAAACTCCAGCACATTGCCCTAGACTTCAGAGAGCTGTAGTTTTCATAATGGCTTGGTGAGGAGAATGACTCTCAAACCGGAAAATGAAAATTCCATGTTATTTGGGACCACAAAGGTACTCTAGGGCACTGGGTCATTTAGGGTGAACACCCTGCTACCTGCCCCTTTTATTTTCTCTAAGTGCAAATATTATCAGTGAAAGATACTGAAGACACCCATTTTACTTACATAAGTAACAGTAATGTTGTTCTTTACACGTGCACTGTTTCAGACACACAGAAAAACATATGCCCCCTCTTAAAGGTCTTGTACTCAGAACCAATGTTTTCACAATGTTTCACAATGACACCAGCTTTAGGAGTTTTGGCCAGCCAATGCTTGTGGCTGCCATCTTCAACCTGAAGGGAAATATCAATATTGAAGCTAGGAGAGATTGAAAATGATCAGAACTAATTGTTGTAATAAATCACATTTCCAGCACTTGAAAAGGAAAAGAAGCAGAGCCTACCAGCTAAGTTTCATGCTATGAATTCTGACTCAGCTCCTGTTCTCTGAGAAAGGAGGTTTACTGTCCTGTGGACTGTATCCTCCAGTCTCCTGATTTTAAAAAATCCTTATTCAAGAATAATTTTCCATGATTGGCTTAGGTCTGAGTATTATTCTTTATGAAAGTGATGAAACAAATGACAGCAGCTTTTTTTTTGTGAAAATTTTGACAAATTTTGTAAAAATGTTAATTGGTTTTACCAGTGATAGGAGTTTGTTTCTTTCCTCCAGACACAAAAGTGAGGATTACTGGCCGTGGCGGGTAGCCACAAAATCCTTGTCAAAGTTTCTGTTTATCAGTCTGTGTAGGCAGCCAGGAAAGGTGCAGAGCTCAGGGAGACCTCCTGGTTCTCTTTCCAACTACACACATGATTAAAGCTGAGAAGTATTTGAGTTTGCTGTAGATTGAGAGAACAGCCAAGCCAAGCCTAGAGGCTTCTTTCTCTGCCTGAAGTTTATCAATTAACTTGGAACTTTTTATGTTGCAGTTCTAGCTGGAAGCTTCATTTGAACTTCCTCCGCAGATTTTAATTTCCATTTGATCTTAGAGAGACACCATCAAATAGCTTGGGTTCTATAAAGCTGAGAGATAACTTTATTGCTGTGTTTCATACCAGACCTGAAGAAAACATTCAGTGATTGCTGAAACATGATATTCACCGAGTTCTTTAAAACCACAATAGAGCTATGATTATTTACGTACTTAAATGATGGCTTTATTAGTGGCAAGGTGGTGTCCCTATTGAGGAAAAAATCCAGTTTTCATGCCAGGGAAGAGAGGAATTGCAAAGGTTGCCATTTCCGATAATTATTTTTTACTGCCTTCACTATCTGTTGAATAGCATATGGACATGAAAAACCATGCACACTGAACAAGTGATTTTTCTGTTGTTTTTATTTTTTATAAGAAAGCCAGTCATGCATACTTCAATGGAATTTGTCTCCAGATAGATAGACTTCTAGGTCTTACAACCAATCCTCCCCCAAATCCTAAAAGTTTTGCACATTATATTCGGCAATGCTAACATGATGGTATGATTTGCAAAGTAAAAGCATACGTTAAAGAATTGTGACCGAGTTGTAGAGGGTTAACTTAGGCTAGCTGCAAAGTCCAGTAGAGTCTTTGAGAAATTCTAGTCACACACATAAACTGAATTATGCAGGTCGTGTCAACAACTGCCTCAGAAGCATATAACTGGTAAAGAGGAATAAGGGAGAGTAAAAGTATGTGTTCATCCTTTTAGAAAAGGGGAAAAGAAGTCTTTTATCCAGTGTTTGAGAACCGCTTGTAAGGGTCAGAACATTTGTACTCCCATGTCAAACCTAAGACAAAAGATATTTGACTGAGAGGATAAACAGATGTAAATACCTAAATGGCAGTTGTTGGCATGTGTCCAAAGGTTAGTGTTGTTCTCCCAAAGGTTGAGCTGATTAGACAATTAAAGCAGTGTCTTCTTTTTTTTTTTTTGTCAATTTCCAGCCTTTCTCTCCTCCTTTTAAAGTATTTATATATTGAAAGACAATGTGTGTAAAAAAGAAAAGTAAATAAAGACATCTTTATTTTCTAAAGATCAAAATGAGGAGATTAGACTACATTCCAGCATGTCTGAATGCATGTCCTCTCGCAACCTTCTATGAAGGAGACCACAATGGTTGCCAGAAGAAAAAAAAAAACAAACAAACAACAACAAAACCAACATACAACCTGTGTTGTCTTTGAATTATGCCCAGAGAGATCTATAGTTGTTTTCTAGATATACGTCTGACTCTGATCTCTTTGCATACTAGCTTAAATCAAGAGGAACTCCTGACTTGTGAAAAGTTAATGTAAGATCAAAATCAGAACTATGTACTTCATTAAGGTTATGACCAAGATATTTATTGTGGTTTGAGAACAGACAAGATTAAGCTGCTACAATGCCAGTAATTGTACATTGTGTGGAATCGTTGGAGAAGGAATTTAAAAGAAGTCATTGCAAACTGGCTCCTCCTTCTCATGTGTCTTGTTTATATTTCAAGGCAAATGAACACTTTCTGTTTTGTAACTGATGAAGTCTTCTGTTTAGTATACCTTACAGGCCTATAGCTGTAGCATCTGAGTGTTGATAGCAGAAGTTCTCTTGTAATTTCCTTTGCTGAGATGAGTGATTACACAGCTACCAATCCATATCTGGTTGCCACTACATTTATGTCTCCACATTTAAATGCTAATTCCCTATCAAAATCAGAATGTGCATGCCAGTTTGCCAGTGAAAATAAGGCAGTGTAAAAATAAATAAACAAATCACAAATAGATAAATAAAGCCTATGTATAATTTCTCTGTCCTTCCCTGCTAGAAAATTGGGTCCAGCTAATAGATTCTTAGGCAACAGAAGGGTAGCAGAAAATGGAGGAGCACCCTATTATCTGGGGACTAATCTGTGTCAATGCCTCTTTTCCCCCTGTAGGTAAAGCAGTTTTCAAGAATATGTAGCTACTTTCTGTATCCGACAGCAGAAAATACTAGTACCTACAATTTCCTGACTACTAGGCACAGACTTCCATGTGGTTGCTTTGAATTAATTATTTTGTTCTCATGTCATTGTTCAGTTTTCCTTTATGATGAAAGTGCTTCTATAGTTTAAATATCAAAAGTAACATAGAAAAAGAAAAGAGGGATAATAATCCTACTTGAAATACACTTTCCTGTGCTTTTTTGCTAATTTACTTCTGCCTTTGGATTAAAAAAAATCTGTTTCTCACTAAGTACACATAGAGCGAGAGAACTATATAAACAAAGCACCTTACTTTAATTAATATTTTCTTTGCAACTACACTTTTTATCAGAGATCGAACACAGGTTTGGGGCAGAGATATACCCATTTGTAATTCACATCTGATACTGTTTGCTCTAAGAGGTACGAAACCGCTAATGTCAGTTAATTAGGACTTTGGGGCCTGATTTTCAAAGACGGTTGATAAAAAGCAATAAATTATTATCTTCAGCTTGATTCTGCAAAGCTTTCTCTCCAATAAAGAGGACAGTTTGTAGTAAATTGTAAACAATACATAAGTGCTAAACTTGTATATCAGTAATTTCTTTAATAGTAAATGAAATAATGTATTTTCACTAACTCTATGTTTTTAATTATCTACAGATATTTTTAGCAATTTTTCTGTTATGACTACAGTTATGACTACAGTTTCCCTTTTTCAGGGAAAAAGGAAGTGTGTTTTTCAATCTACCTATATGCCACTTAGGAAAAATAAAACTCATATTTATTGAGAAGAAGGTTGCTTACCTACTTAAACCTGAACACAAATCAATAGGGCTGCTGGATCAGTAACACATTTTGGACAGTCAGGTTTTAATTATCATCCTACCTTCAAATGTTGGCAAAATTCTCATTTAGTTTGCTTCTAGAAAGCTCTTTATATATCATTCTTTATGCAATCTTTTTGTTTTCCACAAAGGGGATTGGGGATGGCTCAAAGTACAAATGAGAATGACAGAATTTCACATCCAATTTCAACCAATCTAAGCAGCAAGGGTTTGCTGAGCACTGCCTGGGACAAAGCATTTGATTTCACCAGTCTAGTTTTGCAACCTTGGGCAAGCCACATAAAACTGTATTTGTAAACTACAGATACATACTTGCAAATGTTCTGTGGGAGGCTTAATCAGTTAATATTGTAAAGCATTTAAGATAGCTGTGAAAAGAGTATTGCACTTAATCACATACTTACTAGAATTGTGATCTTCTTTATTTGGGCTTACTTTGCATGAGTCGAAATGTATTCTCAGATGTACAAGTCCTAAGTCTTTTTCATGTAGAATAGTCCAGGTTCTTCTAATCTCTTCTCATTACCTGTACCTAAAGCTCTTTCACCACAGATATCAGGGAATTTTGCTCATTAATCTATCCTGTATGTTTAATCATCGCTGTTCTCAAGTCCTGTGAATAGCATCTTGTGGTGCAGAGCTTCAATTCGTAAAAATATATTGCTAGCTTTCACCTACCCACTTCTGTTTTCTTGGGTCTTTTAACAACTAGTATAAATCAGAACAGCCTTAAGCTGTTTTCTGCTGTGCCAGGAGGCTGACCCTTGTGCCCAGTAGTCACAGAATCATATAGAAAGAGGTGGGGTGGCAGCTATTTATTCATTTTTTTCAGCTTTCCCCGAACCTAGGCTGTATTCATTTCGGATGAAACTGTGGTTCTAGCCCATGCTGCATGGACACTGCTAAGGTTGCAAGCACTCACATAATTCAACTATTACATGTAGTAGTGGTAGTAAAATAATCTTATCTGCAGCTCATCAGAGCTTTTTTAATTGAATTTTACTTAACATGAGTGTTGAAAGAGTCAAGCTCAACATGCAGCCTTGACTTTGAAACCTCTGGCATTTTGTGGGTGTTAGTCACATCCTTAACATTACAGTAATACAGTTTTTGTGGCTTAATATTTACATATTTTTATTGCTGTCTGAAAGATAAATGGGAAGAGGATGATCACAGGAGAAGCCTGGAGCAGGATTTTAATACGTTGAATTTAAAAAGTTGCTATACATGTATGGGAATGTGAACTTCAGGTTGTATAGGTAAATTAAAGGCATTAGGAGGCATGAAAGCAAAGGCTGGCAAAGCAGTATTTAGTTGGTGTATAGAACTGCACTGTATTTTGTGGAGTATGTATAGTGGGACATTTGAAACTGAGGGAAAAATATTCTAGAAGTTCAGGCAGCTGAATTAACATCACCAAAGGAGTCTTAGTTTTTACATTTTTATTGTAACCTTGTAGCAGAAGCATTTAAAACAAAAGGCCAAGTTGGAAAATTTTGCCTCCTGGAGCTCCCCTGATGTTTACTGGATTTTACCTGAATAATTCTGAACAAGGAACTGAAGAGTAAATGTCATTTTTCTCATCTATTCTGTGATGCAAACCATCTCATTTTAAACCATCTTGATGCACAGCGTTAAAGTCTCCATCACCTGTGTTGTGTACCCTGAGCAAGGAGATCTTGATTCACAAGCCAGCTCTTTCCTGTGTAGATTGTGGCCTTGGGAAAAAGGTCCAGCTACAAGTAATGAGACTCCTGCCAAATTCCCTCCCCTACACCTAGTGCTTGACTACCTCTGCCTAAGGAATGAGAACTTATGCCACCATTTTACATCATGGATGAGGCATTGTAGAATTGCAAATGGTGCCTTCTGCAGGAAAGGAAGCATGTGTGTGGCCAAGCACCTAGCAGGAACCCCAAGGTGCTTTTTCAGTTCTTTTCACTTGTCTTACAAATAAGAGTGAATACCATTTGTGGGGGATCATTGGAGCGCATGTTATGTGGATATGGTGGGGTTTGAAATCAGCAGAATAATCTAACCTAATCGTGTCTTGAGATCTTAAGCACTCCTCACCTTGACAGACAGAAAGCAAGAGTTTCATGGGTAGTAGCTGAAATGAAAGAGCAAGAACATAGTTCTATGAGGAAATGGCAAATTGCCCATTCTTACTGCTCTATCCTGGGTCATTTCTAGTCTTTATTAAGAGAGACAGTAGCATGGTACAAATCAGAATTTGCCTGTGGTGAGTGCAAAGGACATTCTATTTTTTAGAAGAAATGTGGAATAAGAAAGTGCTGATGCCGCACAAACAGATTTGAAGACAGCTGAAAGCAGAGGACTGCATCACATCTGTAGTTTTTTAATGTTTTAATGAAGTAAAAGGGTTTATAGCTTACAGTGGGGAAGTGGAAAGGACATGTTTTCTCTAGCACCAATGCCCCTGTGAAGTTTTTGGGCTTCAAATCGAACTGTAAGTTCAAGTGCAACCAGAAGTTCTCAGAAAAAGATCTGTCTCAGGAAGTTTTGGCACCACAGAGATGTGCAGATATTGGCTTTTTGCTCATCTCATGGGAGACACCACTGATCTGATTAGGTCAGCAGACATTTAGAGGAACAAAATAATTTTGAAATAGTTTTCAAAATTATGAGAACAAATGCATGTTTTTTTTCCTCTACTTTGATAAGATTTGAAGTGGCAAAAGGATTAACTCAAACTTTCAAGGACATGGGGGGAAACAAACCCAGCAAATTTACATCTTTTTTGGACAGCGTCCAAACAAAGTACTGACTAGTGAGAGCATGTAAAAATGGGTTATTATATTGAAAATCAGATTAGTGCTTTAACTCTCATATTTTCTTAGGGAAAACAGTGATGTGATACAGGAACATAGATGTTGGCTGTATTCATTACAGTGTGTATCGTGTTTGGTGGGAGACCATCTTAGGCAAAAAATCAATTATTTTAGTCCAAAGAAAAGAAAAAAAAAAAAAAAAGGTGTTCTTATCTCTCTCTTTTAAGAGAGGGCATTTCAGGTATTGCAGAGTGAAGGCTGTTATTAATTTGGGTTGCTTCCCATAGGAATGTTAGGTTGTTGTGGAGCCAGAATTCATGTTAGAACACATGCTTTAAGTTAATTGTTTGTGTGAGATTAAGTGGCTGCAGGTCAGGGTTGCTTGTTTAGTCTGGGAAAAGTACACAGGAGTACTTAGGGGAAATAATAAAAAGGGAGGCTGAGTGCTGAGTTTGGAATAACCAGTTCTAGATGAAGCTGTAGGCTGTATTCAGGGAATAATCTGGGTGGAGAGTCTGACTCCTTGAAAGCAAGCTTCAGCATTCCAGTGAAAAAGGTCCCATTTGTGCGAGGTGATGATTATCTTTTTCCTGATTCTGAGCACCTCCCAGAACCAGTGGGCGCTGACAGTGTACAGCTTAGGCACAGAGATGTGCCTTTCCCTGTTTCAGGATTTGGAATTATTTTGGGACTTCCTTGATGAACTCTAATAATTTTTTTCTGGCTAAGAAAGACACCTTATTAAGTCAAATAATCTAAAGAGGTGAATGAAAAAAGCTTTGCTTCCAAAGTATGCCACCCTATTTAATTTACCTTTTCAGCTTTGACTCTATTTGCTACAAGTGAGATCAAGTGGACTTGTTATTTTCTCAGCCTGCAAATCCTTTCTTTGGTTCTTTCTTAGAACTTTATAGGGTTCACCCTTAAAGCAACTTGTACCACAAACACTTTGCAGAAATGCATCTTTTCAGTTTTCCTAAATTGGAAAGGATAACACTAATTGCAAAGCACAGCTCTAAATTTACTACCAAGTTGTAATGCATTTTCTTCATATAAAGTCATATTCAAAAAAACTACTGAATTTAACTTGAGGATTTGTGCAGTAAAGCAGTAGGCCCCAGTATGAGATGAGTGTCACAGTTTGGTCCTTAATATTGTATAATGCACTTTTAGTACAAAATTTGAAAAATCTGTCATCCTTTGTATCTTACTGTCTTGCGTTTTATGAAGAACAAAGAATCACCACACATAGGTGGGTCTTTATAAGAGGACTTGCATATCGGGCAGAAAAAAATTATGATCTCTTGGAACTGCATTCTGATCAAGTGTGGACTTAGAGAATTACATTTGTAAGTAAATATGCAAGCTTTTTTGCCACATAACAGGGCTGACTTACACAGTGTTCAAAGAGAACCCCTTAGGAATCAATTGGCTATATTGGCAAGCAAATCTCTGCTTGCTGCTGGTACTCTGAGCTCCAAGTGTCATTTAGAGATTCAGCAGTAGTTTATAAATAAGCTGTAAGGGCTGAATGCTAAAATTATAAAGTGTGTAATATTGTTTTACTTTTTTCCTAAATTGAATATGCCTATGACCATGTGGAGCTTATGTTGCTCATGTGTATGAATATGGGCTCTCACCAGAGGCATGGGTCACATTAAATCTCAGCATTACACTGCCATGTCCTTTTGAAGCACACTGTGAGAGAACATTATTCTTGAACCAACCTGGTCAAGGTTGTGAATACAGGGTCAAAAACCTTAAATCTGCTGGCAAATCTGCTGCGGCCTGTTGTATATCTCTGAGCATACCACAGTGCTTCTGTTCCTATCTTCATCCTTTGTCTGTGTGGCCAATATAGGCTGTAAAATTTTTGAGACAAGAACTTTCCCACTGTATTTGCAAAGGGGATCTGATCTCATTTGGGACCCCAAGGCATTGTTGAAGTAAAAATAATAGGAATAATTGTATTCAAAACTGGCAAAGAGAAGAATATATTTTATTTTCAGAGACATCAGAAGCCTTTTTTATCTTAATCAGATCTTTACATTTTGCTCCCCTTACTCAGTGAAAAGGGGACAGAGTTCTCACTGTGTCACCACAGGATTAACTGAAGTCCACAACACATGCAAAACTGAAACTCAGGGATATTATATAGTTTTGAAATTTAGGGATTAAGAAGTCTGCATTTTTAATTTCTGAAACTGACTATTATGTGACTGTTCTGTTATTGCATCATTCTCACAAGGTTTTGCATCAGCAAAATAGATTCGGTTAGCTGGTGAAACTAAACTCAATGACTCAAAAAGTCCCTAACATGGGGGTATTTTCAATCAAAAGTTGGAGATATCTTTTCTGTTTATTTATTTCTGATACACTGTGTTTTTAAGATGCAATGCTATAAGAGCAAAAAATTAATCTTTTAGAGGACAAAACCTTCTGTCTGTCCTAAGCAGTGTAAGGACTGGAAGAATTAAACATGAATAAAGGGAGTTGGCAGCTGATACTGGCAGTTGTGAGACTTCATAGATTTGGGAAAAAAGGCATGCCCTGACTCAGCAGCCTATGTTATCATCAGAAAAAAAGAATTGAAGAAATATGATTTAATGAATGCTATGTTATGTTGATGAGGTACTTTGCAGGGTAACTGTTAATGGGCTTTGTTTCTCCAAAGGTAACAAGCTATTGTGTAGTAAGATTGAATGTTTTTCATTTACTTGCTCATATTATCCATTATTTTATTATTTTATTCTAATTTCTTTACTCACAATTAATTTAATACATTTATGTTATAAAAAGGAATATTCTGTTTTTTTTTTATTAATGGATCAGTGTATTAATTTTGCAATGGAGGTGACTATGCAATGAAACTCTTCCTTCAATTACCTTTTAACTGGTTGGTCTTCTTTATACTCTGGGATACTTGCTATCATTATCAGAAAAAAAGGGCTTCTTGATGATTCATTATTGTGCATGACACATCTCCTGCAATGTATGAATATGCAGGATAGTAGAGGATGCACATTCTGTTGGGTGAAGATATCTCTCCTCACCTCTCCTTTCTTCTCCTCTTTTCTCCTCTCCTCTCCAATTAGACAATGCCATTAAACTTCTGCAAGATTCTTTGAACTGATTTATGACCTTAGAAATCCAGGCCTAATCTCAATCCCATGAAAGTTCACAAGAATCTTTTAATGGGGACTGTGTTCGGTCTCATTAGAACATTTGTGTGGCAGAACAACTCCAGTGTATCTGGAGATTTCAGAAGTGTAGTAGGTTTCCTGATTGATTTTTACCAGGGACATCTGTGTTCACCTGTTGAAACTTCAAGTCACTGAATAGGTAGATTGCAATAGACTTTTATTATGCCAGAAGCCTGCTTCTCTAATTCAGTATGGAACTCAGCACATCCTTAACATCACCTTCATGACTCTCGTTCTGGAGCACATCCAAAGAAGAGCATTGAATCTGGTGTAAAGGTCTAGAGCACAAGGCTTACAAGGAGGGAACTGGGATTGTTTAGTCTGGAGAAAGGGAGGCTCAGGGAAGACCATATCGCCCTCTAGAAGTACAGGAAAGGAGGCTGTGGTGAGGTGAGTGTCAGTCTCTTCCCAGGTAACAAGTGATAGGATGAGAGGAAACAGCCTCAAGTCATGCCATGGTAGGCTGAGGTTGGATATTAGCAAAAAATTCTTCCCTGAAAGGGCTTTTAAGATTGGAACAGGATGACCAGGGAAGCGGTAGAGTCACCATCCCTGGTGCCAGTAGATGTGGCACTTAGGAACACAGTTTAGTGGTGGACTTGGCAATGTAAGGTTTATAGTTGGACTCAATGATTGTAAGAGTCTTTTCCAACCTAAATTATTTCATTATTCTATAATTCTATGATTTTATGACCAAGTGCATTGGTGAACAGGAAGAAATGATAGGGTTTGCTTACAGTTGATTTTCAATGTTTTGTTGAATAGACTACTGAATGCATTGGAAGAAAAATGTG